GAGAGACAGACAGACAGTACTTCAGAATCCATTGATGGGATGAGCAAAATCAAACGAATCTGCCGCTAGAACATAGAAATATACACTCGCGCAGAGACAGAGAGAGAGAGAAACAGGCACGTGACACTTCGACATCAACAATCAAAGTGGAACCATCATCATCGGGATGACAGACTGACAGAAAGAGAGAGAGAGCAAGAAACAGAAACAAAACTTGGCAATTATTTCAATGGCTGAAGTCAGACCCATGTCTTTTCCCCCCTCATGACCTGCTTTCCGGCCGTCCCTTCACATGTGTTGCTGGTCCTGTCTTTCTGTTCAACGTCCACATCTGCAACACCAACATTCTACAACATTCTCCTCCCTCTCCTTCCCCCCCTTCTCCCCCCCCTGTTTGGCCGCAGCATAGCTGCGGCGGGTCCACTTGTGTGCATAAAAGTCTCAATTTGTTGAAGAGTTCAATTTAACGAGTAAATTTCGAACGGACTGGTTCCAAATTTCTTATGACCGGAAGTTTGCTCGTCTCGAGAGGAATTCATTCATCTACTGACTCGGAGTCTGTTGTTCCTCTCTTCTCTCTCTTTCGTCTCTTTCCTCTCTTTTGTCTCTTTTCTTTTCTGTCTTTCAGACTCTTTCTGTCTTTTCTGTCTTTTCTGTCTTTTCTGTCTTTTCTGTCTTTTTCTGAAATGCAGATAGGTTATTATTACATTATCTCATGAACTCATGAGTTGCAAGGGACGAGGGGGGGGCGAGAGAAAGAGTGGAAAGCTCTCGGAGCACCAGCCATGGCGTTCTTCACCCCTTGGGATGTTTACCCGTCTTACCGGAAGTTTGCTCTTTTCGTGTTTTTCGTTCTCATCGCCGGCTACGCGGTCCTGGCCATTCTATCTACAATAAACGTACGCAATCAATCCAGTGCCCTCCTTTCCCCCATCCATATCCTTCTTCATGCCTGTCCCTAACTATCCCTATCTTGTCAATGAATCTCGTCTTCTCCTGTTCTTTTTCCATCCTTCATATTCTGCATCATGTCTTTCTTTTTGTACGTGTCTCTATGTGTGTGTGTTTTAAATTTCCGCCGCAACAGCCCCTATTCCACCCAGATGAGTAGATTTGAGCTGAGTCAGCCCAACAATTAAAGAATTTCACCTCTTTAGCAAGCAACATGAATCATAATAGAACCATTCAGAACTGTGCTTAGCTCTGTGTGTGTGTGTGTGTGTGTGTGTGTGTGTGTGTGTGTGTGTGTATGTGTGCGTGCGCATGTGTGGGTATGTGTTGTGTGTGTGTGTGTGGCACATAGCTGATAGCTTCAGCACGTTACGCAAACATGCTTCATACCAACATATCGATTAAGATGTACTGGCGGACTATACCGTGCACACCTTTTATCTTTTAGTTCGAGACGTTTGTTTCACAAAGACACTTGACATGATGTTCGATGAGGAGACACTATACATGCTGTTGGATGAGGCAAAATGCGTTAAGCAATAAGAGGCAGCAAGGCACATAGACTGGAGGGCATGGGGGAGGAGGGTGGGCAAGCAATACAAGGCAAGGAGGGACAAGGTGGATAAAAAGCAACATGCATGAGGTAAGAAGCGGCGGCAAGAGACAAAGGCTGTGGGGCACCGCGGAGGTGGGTGGACAGACAGACAACACAAAACAAGGGGACAAGAAAGACAAGTATCAAAAAAGAAAGAGCAAAAAAAATCTGGGATAATTGCATTTGTACCCCAGTTAAAGATGGGAATACCCGCTATACCCAGTCCCAGCGCCAACTTGGTGGGGAGGTGCTTCGGCCGGCTCGGTGGGGAGGTGGTGGGGAGGTGGTGGG